GGAGTCTGGTGGCACCTTAAAGACTATTTTTTTGAGTATATTCTTCAATTCTTTGAGGCCAGGTTTTGGTGGAGGTTGATTTCTGAGATTTTAATTATATCATAATTATGCTAGAAGGTCATACGTCTTTTGGGAAAATAACTCTCTTGCTCACTCACCAACTGAATCAAAGGCAATTCTTAAGGAATAAAGCCCTACTGACATTAAGAATGACACAATCTGCTCCTAAATACAGAACCCAGATGTGGGAATTAGTCACAGGAAGAATCCCATGCACTGCTACAGACTAGGGACCAAGTGACTAGTCAGCAGTTCTGCAGAAAAGGACCTAGGGGCTACAGTGGACGAGAAGCTGGATATGAGTCAACAGTGTGCCCTTGTTGCCAAGAAGGCTAACAGCATTTTGGGCTGTATATGTAGGGGCATTGCCAGCAGATCGAGGGACATGATCATTCCCCTCTATTCAACATTGGTGAGGCCGCATCTGGAGAACTGTATCCAGTTTTGGGCCCCACACTAAAAATTGGAAAAATTGGAAAGAGTCCAGCGGAGGGCAACAAAAATGATTAGGGGGCTGGAGCAATGACTTATGAGGAGAGGCTGAGGGAACTGGGATTGTTTAGTATGCAGAAGAGAAGAATGAGGGGGGATTTGATAGCTGCTTTCAACTATCTGAAAGGGGGGGTCCAAGGAGGATGGATCTAGACTGTTCTCAGTGATACCTGATGACAGAACAAGGAGTAACGGTCTCAAGTTGGAGTGGGGGAGGTTTAGGTTGGATATTAGGAAAAACTTTTTCACTAGGAGAGTGGTGAAGCACTGGAATAGGTTACCTAGGGAGGTGGTGGAATCTCGTTCCTTAGAGGTTTCTAACAGAGCCCTGGCTGGGATGATTTAGTTGGGGATTGGTCCTGCTTTGAGCAGGGGGCTAGACTAGATGACCTCCTGAGGTCCCTTCCAACCCTGATATTCTATGATAATGATATTGAAGGGAATGTTACTGTATTTTTTGCAGATAAAAAAATTGCTAAAGAAAGCATATTTCATGCAAACACCTCAGTAACTCAAAATAATATTAGGTGTGAATATAGAGCAACACTTAACCTCCCAGTGTTTAGCAATAACATTATTTTATTACTAGAAGAACAAAGAGTCACTTTACCTTTCATCCAGTCTTCAGATAGCCAGCCCATCATAAAAATAATCTGCTGTCTTCCTATCAATAGTGGTTGCTATTTTTTGGCTAAAATGAAATTACCAAGCATTCTAATGGAAACTGACCTTAGAAGTGTAAACAAATCTTATTGCGGGAAAATAATTAAATCTGTGTTCCTTTTGCAGTGTGTCCTTGAGAAAGTATTTGAGGCATTTCTAGTAACTTGTTTTTGTTTAATAAAATATATTTTATGACAAATAGCTATTTGATTCATCCATTTTGGGCATAAGAATTTTTTGTGATTAATATAGACTGAACTTATTAAATGGCCTAAGTAAACTTCATCTGCAGCCCTTGCTTCATAAGGTTCTGTCAAAAATATGTTGATTTTATAATATTTTCTTTGTGCTCTGCTTGCTGGACTCTTTAGTCAATGTATAATGCATATGTATATGCACAACTCTCAGAAATATATTCACTGATGCACAAATGTGTAAGTTCAAACCTATGATTTATGATTTTTGATCACTATGCATTGCTCCTCTATAAGAACTAATGTGTCTGGTTCAAAATAAGAAAATGGAGTTAGAGATTTACGTTAGCAGTAATATGAAAATAGAAAGGCATTGTTAAATTGTAGCTAGGAACACCAAAACATTCCTAAACTGCAATACAAGAAAAAGTGGTATAAACAAGAAAAGCCCCCAACTGTAATACTGCATTCATTTGGGGGCAATTTTGCTCAGTAAGAATGTACACATTCTTGGAGAAGCTGAAAAGAAAAAACGTATGGGCCAGATCCTCAGCTGGTATGAATGGTAATATCTCCACTAAACTTGGTTTTAGAGGAGCTGGGGGTTATTCTTCAAAGTCAAAAGCCCACCCTATATTCAGCTGATGTGTCATGTCAATTTCCATAGCCAACAGTACACAAAGGAGTGATGTGGCTAACACCATGCCCAACCATCTTTGACTCCCCTAACCCAACAGATCATATACCCATTTGCAGCTGAATGGACTAGAGACAGCCTTTCTGTGTGAGATTGAGCAAGACTCAAACCCACAGCTTCCAGGATTGTAGCCAAGCAACTGAACTACTCAGCCCTCACTGGGGATTAGTTTTACAATCCGAAATTTTGAAAATACAGTTTACTATGAACAGGGATCTTCCTAGAAAAAAAACTTTGCTGTACTTGCTCCAAATGGTGTCTTTAAATCTGGAAGCATGCTCTTATACATATACACATATGCACAGGCAGATCTGATTAAGTAATATGGAAAGAACTTCAACCTGAAATAGCTGCAAGAAAAAGATATAAGCAGGGAGCTTGTTAAACATAACAATAGATGGAAACAATTAAATTTCAGGTTGTACAGCTTAATTGTATATCTTGGCAAAGTAATACATACCCTTTTCAAAAATATGGCAGTACATGTTCACCTTCAAAGGATACACTTACATGAGCAGAAAATATTATATAGTAAACCTAAATGATTCATGACTTTCATCTGTCATTCAGGTCATGGGATAGAAAGAAAACTGGTGTGTTTAACAAAATTTGGCTACATGAGTAGGAAATGTAGAATAATCATAAATGGAAAGTATTCAAGCTAAAATGTTATTAGTGGAGTATGACAGGAGTCTATGTTAGAGGTCCAGCTTTGAAATATTTACACAAATATAACTTGTATAGTGATGTGGAAAGCATAGACTTCCAAGTTTGCAGATGACACTTAATTAGTGAGTACAGCAAATAATGAAGTATCACACAGCCAGAAAGGAGACATTTCGATGGAATGAAATCTTGACTGGAGAATGAATCTATTATAGCAAATTTTGCAGGAGAAGGCAGAAGAAAGTTTAATTTTTTGAAAATATTAAAGTTTCATGGAAAATAGCAAACCTTCAAATACATCAGCAACTGTTTTTTGCATAGCTTACTGATGTTTCTCAGAGGACTCAGCATTTGAGATGGCAAAGAATTTGCTTCTGTTGAATGAATCACTGCACCAAAATCACTTCACTGTTGCTCACAAGAGCAGTACATTCAGAGTCACTAAAAGGAAGATGGTGAGTGCATTTCAGAGCTGTGCTTGATTAGGTTTGATCCCTTGAATTACTACTGTCTGTGAATGCTGATAATGAAAAACCCACATTGCAAAAGGACAACAGTCAAAAGACATTGCAGCATTGCATGGGATCCACACACAAAGCTAGGTTTGGACTAGAATACTAGAATCCTCTCTCCCTTCAGTGACATGCTTGATTTATAGGGCAGAGGAGGGGGATTTTTTGGAAAATATGTAGTTATTGAAAAAGCAACTATATTTATTTTCTTATCTCTGCCTACAAGTTAGGCACCAGGGCAACAGTGCCAATGTGCTTTATTCATTCAAATGCCACTGTTTTAACAAGAAGATTTTTCATTTAGTAACAAGTTTTCAGTTGTTCTAAGACAGCAGCTAGCACTGGGAGCTCAAAAGAAGAAAAACCACAAAGAGAACACTTACTAGGTAGCATGACTGGAGGAATTAGACCTCACCTAGAATACTGTTTGTACTTATAGTATCAACCTGAGAAATGGCACATCTTCCCAAAGGCAAAGTGCAGTTCTGTAGTAAATAGTAACAAGAATAACCACAATTTTAAATTTAGAGCATGACAATGACTCAGACCAACTCATAACAGTGGCTAAGGGCTAAAGAACACTGAGGCATAAGTATTTGTGTATTGGTACTAGGGTACTGGGTGTTTGAGAATTGCTGGTCGCTACAATAGATGATGAAAAATTAGCATGAGCTTAAATGTAAGAAGTTTTTAACAAAAATCCTGGTCTAGACAGTCACTACCTAAAGGAATGATGTAGTTAACAGTACCAATAAGGGCCAGTATAGGAAAGATTATGCAGCACAAAAGGTAATGGACATAAGCAGTATTGTAACCCACACACCTCCTGGGTGTGGTGTTCTGTCCTATCTAATGGCACCGAGACCACTGGAGTTGGGGTTGGGGGAGGGAGAGAGATTAATGAGTCTTCTCTAGAGCCTTAGGTAATAGCCAGTTGGCTTTTAGCTCATGCAGTAGAGTCTCATGCACAAAGGTCCCAGGTTCAATCCCACCCACTGACAACCAGGGTCTGTCGGTGTTACAGTATCACTCAATTTCTTTATATATTCTGATTACAAATCAATTCATACATATGTATCAGATCAGAAATCTTGTGGTTAATCAGTGCATTTGAAGACTCTCAAAGGGCTTGGAATGATCAAGTTAAAAGATAAGCCATGATACATTTTCCATATGTCCTACTGTGCCACATAAAATCCTATCCTCACATGCATCCCACCCTCCATGTCGTCATAGGCCACAATGTTCTACCTTGGTATCTAATTGCCTATGAATTTGTCACAACATTATCACTTTACTGTTAAATCTAACTTTACCAGGTGAGATCTCCTGTAGTAAAGTGCCTGCAACATTTCATATAACAAACACCAAGCATTTATACTTACTCTTACATTGGGGACATACATTTGCTCTGTTTAGTGACTTGATCTCAACTGCCTTGAGTATTACCCTTTAATGTGAAGTTGCACAGTTGACTGGCTGGTCATTAAGTAGGCTTTTCTTACAACTACAATGTTCTATATTCTTACAATTTATCATGTATTATTCAGAACACGAGTCTGATACTCCTCGAAGTGGTAAATCAGGAGGAACTCACTTGAAGTCAAAGGATTTGCCCCAGAGTAAACACTAATGAGATGGAGAAATGGGCCACATATTTCCATACATTAGTAAAATATGCATGACATGCTTGTACAAACATCTTCCATTGTCTTACCTTTATGAGGAATGGGTAAACTGGAAAGGCAAAGTCAATCACTGGGCTATAATTATTTACTGGAGAAACTCTTCATCTGGCTAAATGCAAAAAAATAAAATAAAATAAAAAATAGGGAAGATTAATACTTCATTCCCTCAAGCACCATCTGATATTAACTTTATATTTGGCAGAAGTGGGGAGTTGGGCAAACTTTTGTGGGAATGCATATAGTGCTGTTTTCCAATTACAAAAACAACGAGGAGTCCTTGTGGCACCTTAGAGACTAACAAATTTATTTGGGCATAAGCTTTCATGGGCTAAAACCCACTTCATCAGATGTATGGAGTGGAAAATACAGTAGGGAGGTATAAATACACAGCATATGAAAAGATGGGCGTTGCCTTACCAAGTGTGTGTGTGTGGGGGGGGGGTCAGTGCTAACGAGCCAATTCAATTCAGGTGGAAGTGGGCTATTCTCAACAGTTGACAAGAAGGGGTGGAAATCACTTTTGTAGTGCTAATGAGGCCAATGTAATCAAGGTGGCCCATTTCAAACAGTTGACAAGAAGGTGTGAGTATCAGCAGGGGGAAATTAGTTTTTGTAGTGACCCATCCACTCCCAGTCTTTTTTCAGGACTAATTTGATGGTGTCTGTGATGCTGCAACCCATAATGCTTTATAAAAATATGCTAGATATGCCATGTAACATATCTCTGGAAAGGTTATGATCTACTGAATATATTCATCCTATTTGTATGCATGTATCATTTTTTTATTCGAAGTTATGAATATTGGCTATGTACTTGTTTGATTTTAAGTAGCCTCAGTAAAGCATTTGGTCAGCTTCTTGAGAAAAGACTATTCTCAGTAAGTGCCCAATCAAGAACCACTTAAGCTGACAATGGACTTTGATGGACGTCAATCCACATCTGAGCTTTCCTGGGAACCGGCTAACATGTGAACCATGGCGTCAGCCTGTAAAGAACTGAGTCATGCATGGACATTTGACTTGCCCATGTGACTACAAAACTCCATCTTGTAGCTGTGGTGCTGCATAGGAAAACACAGAGGGTTTCCACCCACAAGAGAGAGACTATATAAAGCCCTGGGAAATCCCTCCATTTTGTCTTCAGCTGGCACAAAAGATTGCCTCTCCACCCCAAGGAGATGACTGAAAGAAACTGGAACAAAGGACAGTAACTACAGGGGTGTGAGTGATTGCTGGACCCAGACTAGGAGGAAGTCTAGTCTGTCAAAGAAGCTTATTGGAACATCTCTGAGGGTGAGATTTACCTGCATTTTAGTTTCTTACTGTATTAGGCTTAGACTTGTGTGTTTAATTTTATTTTGCTTGGTAATTCACTTTGTTCTGTCTCTTATTACTTGAAACCACTTAGATCCTAATTTTTGTATTTAATAAAATCACTTTTTACTTATTAATTAACCCAGAGTAAGTATTAATACCTGGGAGAGTAAACAGCTGTGCATCTCTCTCTATCAGTGTTATAGAGGGCGAACAATTTATGAGTTTACCCTGTATAAGCTGTTTTCAGTTAAACCTGCAGCTGTTGGGGGATGTGGCTCAAACCTGAGTCTGTGTTTTTAGCAGGCAGGCGTGTCTGGCTCAAATAAGGTAAGTTACTGAAGTCCCAAGCTGCCAGGGAAAACCGGCTCAGAGGTAGTCCCAGCACATCAGGTGGCAGTCCCAAAGGGGTTTCTGTGGTCCAACCCGTCACAGTGTCCAGTTTGTAAATTAATTCCAGTTCTTCAGTTTCTCGTTGGAGTCTGTTTTTGAAGTTTTTGTTGTTGAAGAATTGCCACCTTTAAGTCTGTTATTGAGTGTCCAGAGAGATTGAAGTGTTCTCCGACTGGTTTTTGAATGTTATAATTCTTGATGTCAGATTTGTGTCTATTTATTCTTTTGTGTAGAGACTGTCTGGTATGGTCAGTGTACATGGCAGAGTGGCATTGATGGCACATGATGGCACATATCACATTGGTATATTAGTCTCTAAGGCGCCACGAGGACTCCTCAATGTTTTTGCTGATATAGACTATCATGGCTACCACTCTGAAATCTTTCCAATAACACTAATTCTAAAAGACACAGCTGGACCTGTCAAATGGCTAAACAAGTCTTTCCCTATGCATACTGTGAAATTTATAATCCTGTGACCAAAGAACACATTTAAAAGATTAAAAACTGGAACTAACAGCAATCTCTCTATTACTGACAAAATAGCCCAAATACTGGTAATTTGATTTGTTCAGCAAGACTTCACAATAAACACACTTTATATTTTCCTTTAATAATATAAGTGCATGTTAGTGTATGTCCAGTTTCACATGAGGGATATTGGGGTAAAATCCTAGCCTTATTGAAGTTGATGAGAGTTTTGCTATTATTTTCAACGGGTCCTAGATTTTTACCACAGAAGTGGGATATTTGTTCAATTATCTATTTTTTTTCAGCCAATAACATTAAGAACAAGCTCAACCACTAGAAAGAAAAGTACAAAGTATATATTATACAGTCATACACAGCTTAGGAAAACTACTGATGAGTAAAATGTGGATTTATTGTGATTGTCTATGGTTCGGTGAATGCAAAACATTTTGGTTATTTGTGCTCCCAGAGGAGTTATTTTTCTGAAATGGTAGAGTGCACCAGTCAGGTTGCAAATGCAACGGTACTCTGACTAGATTATCATAATGGTCCTTTCTGGCCTTAATAGCTATTAATCTAACTCTTGTTTACAAAATTCAGAAGAGTCAAGTTCATATTTATTCCACAAATGTAAACATTAATCATAGGTAGTATACTATTAATGTGGTTATGGAATGAGATACACTCTTATGCTTGGGCATCTTCTGATAAAGACTTAACCTTAAGCTGTGGAATCTCTGTCCTAAGAACTCTATAGAAAATTTGGCTTTGAAACGCTAAAACAGATGCAAGGACAGTGCACACAATTGTGGTAGCTTGTTTTGTTTTTTCAGTTGAATTAGTATGACCCAAGCCCTATTTAGGGCAAAGCTTCCTTGAATGAACTTGGAAAGGTTTTGGACCCTGTAATGATTCCACTATCTTTTTCCTCCAGTGATTAATGAAAGCAGCCTTTTCTCAGGGTGGAGTATAAGGAGTGTTTTAGAGCCGTATTGGCAACAACCAATTTCCATTCTCTTTCTGTTTTGTTCAGCCAGATAACTTCCCCAAGGGAAATTGGACTGAAGAATAAAATGCTAAATGATATATGCAGTCAATTAAAGTTAATAATATCAGCCCAACACAGTTGTGGTAAGAGCCGTACCTTTTTTTTTAAAGTAGAGGTTTTAATACTTAAATACTAATGGTTTCCTTACTAGTCAATATCTTACCTCCTTCAGTGCACTCTGGATAGAACAGCAGTACCTCCGTGGCCTTATGTCACACATCCTCATGTTGCCACAGAGAATTGTGCAGCTCATCTGTACTTCAAGGAGGCTCCACATCCTCTAAGTACACAGAGTATGCTGTCAGTAAAGGCACACAAAGTATTTTTAGTCACAGACAAAATAGTGGGCTAAAGTAAAATTAGTAAAAAGCTACCATAGGAGGATCCTGATTCACCACTGTGATACTCCACTTTTACACCAGTGTGAGCCCATTGATTTAACAGCATTACACTGGCTTAAAACTGTAGTCATGGAAAGCCCCTAGAGTAGGTTAAATAATTAAAAATCTGGGTTTGTGAATGGACTCATGAATCCAATTCCTGGGCCCAGTATGCTAGTGTTGATTGCTCATGAATATTGGGACAAGCAGCAGGTATTTATGAGAAAGTTTGTATAGCTTTTGCAGATTATAGCATGACTTATTATTATCCAAAAATTCTTACTGGAAATTTGTTATTCATCATTCTCTAATTGAAAAGAGTTTCAATCGTCCTCTCAAGGACCAGGATAAACTATACCATATTAAGTCAAAAGGAAACATATGGTCACTCTCACATGGGGTTAATCAGATCTAGAAGTGGGTCTAATGGTCTTATCTGATGTATCCCAACAAATCTATATGATCTTCCAAATGCATTACAAATAGCATCCTCAACAGATAAAGGTTAACCACGTAGAAAAAATAGATCACAAAAAGTGTAGTTGACCAATTTACAGACAATTGTTTTTTTAAACAAACCACTACTGGCTCACAAACAGAGAACAAACTCTCATAATCTCACATCTCAATTATTGCAACATCCTTTTCTCTGACCTTGACAAATGCAATCTTACCCTAATCATATCCATTCAGAATGCTGTTGCAATTATTCTCCTAGCCCATCGCTTTGATCACATCATCGCTCTCTTTGAATCCCTCCGCTGGCTCTCCCTTCTCTATTGCATCAAACATACGTTTCTTGTCTTCACATTCAAGTAGGGTGACCAGATGTCCCGATTTTATAGGGACAGTCCTGATATTCGGGGATTTTTCTTATATAGGTGCCAATTACTCCTTCCCCCCCCCCCACCCCCTCCCACACACACTCTGTCCTGATTTTTCATACTTGCTATCTAGTCATCCTACATTCAAGGCCATTCATCACCTATTCTCCCCTACCTATCAACTCTCATTCACTATTGAAATACTGACTCCCATCTCTGATCAGCCCATGAGGCCAGCCTCCATTGCCCACTTGTTAAATTTTCAAACAAGCACCTTCATGTTTTCTTCCATGCTGCCTCTCATGCTTGGGAGGAGCTACCTGTAAACATCTTCAAAACTACCTCATTATCCACCTTCAAATCTCTCCTTAAAATGATCCCACAATAAACTTGTGGTGTGCTGCCCACAATAAACTTGACAATGGTTTGGCTGCTGATGTGTTGCAAACACTGCCAGTCATGCTGACCGTTGTTGTCTCACTGTTTCCTTGTACTCCCCTGTCTAACTATGTGTATCCATCTGTTGTTTCTTGTCTTATGCTTTTTGTTCTGTGAGCATACAGGGCCTAGAACAGTCAATGAGTAGGGGTCCTAAGTGCTATGGTAATACAAAACAATAAAGATAATAATTAGAATAATAGTAATTTTATTACTACTATTGCTGTTATTAACAGCAGCAATAAAACTACCTCTGATGTGAAGTGCAATCATGACTTGGCTGAAGATTTTCTTCAGGTTTAAGGTTCATTGCATAATTTGAACTTGAAATTGTATGCTGGTACAGGGTTAGGTACACTGTGATTAACAGAGTTCTAAGACTTCTGATGAAGACTTTCAAAATAAGGATAGTTAATTACACAAACAAAAACAAATAGAACCAGACATAAAAAAGATTTCCTTTTCAAAGGATGGGGACAGCTGACACAGCTGGCAACTTTACTGAGACCCTTGGCCTCAGAAGGCTAGGTTTGTATATTCTTGAGCTTTGGTCTATCTAATCAAGTCACAGGGCTAGAGGCAAACCCACTAATCAAAGGCAACTGCTTCCTGGTGGTGCCTTTCATCTCAGCTCTAGACCACAATTCCCCACCCTTTTTCCACAAACTGAAATGATAAATCGGTATCAATGTTGAACAGCTGGGTGGACCAATTCAAATAAAAAAATAAACAAAATGAACCTTCACCCAAAACTCAGACTGAATCCCAGTGGAACCTTTTCTGAGATTTGAAAAACAATGTGGTTTACTTTCCTCCCGTTTTTGCAAGATTCTCTAAGCACTTCTTAACTCCAGGTGGGACTTTAAACGGAAAGTACCAATATACCTAAAGAAAGAAGTTTTGTCACTGGAAAGTCTGCCCTAATGAGATGTTCAGGACAGTTTTTCATAACAAAATACAGTTCTGTAGTTTGGATAGCATCCAAAATGTGGGTGCTAGTCACACGGGAATTTCCAAATCTCTTCAGGTTCTTAAAAATCAAAGATGATCTGTTTTGAAATGCTCTTTTGGGAGTGAACTATCATTTGATGGTCTCTTGTGCCCTTCATCTGAATCAACCTCACTGCTGTGAACTTTCTTGATATTTATTGTATGTGCCCTTATAAAACAGTGATAGAAAAGTTCATATAAAATTTTAATAGCACCATTTTAAAAAGGAAACTTTAGTGATGGCAGTAAGACTATATTTATACACCTTGCTCACTCAATGAGAAAAATATGAAATTTTTCTAGTCTTCTGCTTTCCATGAATAATTGGCTACAAATATATATTTGTCCCCTAGTTTAGTGTTTAAATGAAGATATGTGATTAAAAAAAAAAAGGATTTTGTATATGTCCTTGTTTTTAATTTAAAAATCAGGAAAATAAACAAATAAAAAACAATGCTTGGTTGCATCATATGTTCTCCTGTATTATGAATGCCAACTGAGAAACAACCTGAAATTCACAAACTGTTGATCTTTGGGCATTATATATGATCAAAACTGAGAAAGTGTGTCAAAATGAGGTCAAACAATAATAGCTAAAAGTCATCTTTGAGTTAATCAGATGTGTACAATATTTTCCTTAGCAATAGTAACTAATTTCATATTGAGGGCACAATGTTATTTTAGTTTGTGTATTTAAAATGGTATTTTTTTAAATTGTTTATTGGCTCCAAAGTTTTAGACTGATAGCAAGCTCCAGAAAGGGCATTTGTGCACATACTTTCAGACTGACAAACAGAGAAAGAGAGAAGAAAAAGGAAGAGAGAGATGAAGAAAATTGTCCTGATATGGGGAAATGATCATTTTAAGGAAACTTGCACTATGGCTGCTCATGCTGTAAGCGTTTCGAAGAAGCACTCTGACAGTGGTTAGCATTTAATGGCCTGTGTGGAATGAGTTCAGTGGTCTCAGTCTTGTTCTGAGTGGATCTTGACCCATGTTAATTTCAGGGAAAATATGAAAAGTAGCAATAAAATTAGATCATCTCATATCTTTTGATATTAGATTGAATGCATACTCTTACAGTTATAGAATATTTTCCAAAATGTTTACTGGGGACATGCAATCTTAGGAATCAACATCCCCAAAGAGTATGTAAAGACACGTACAAACAGAAAGATGTTTTTAAAATCTTAGCAAAGCCAAGTGAAGAAGCAAGGCATAGCCAAAGCAAAACTTTGTACTTCAGAACACATGGAAAATATTAAAAATATTTGTGCACTATGGATATTACAATATGTTCTATAAACAGAGAATTAATCATTGTGTCAATAGAGCAAAGGGACCAAGGGATTTCACAGTACAATGTTTGCTCTCTGTTCACTGATGCACTATTTATAACCAAACAGCAGGGCCAGACTTTTAGGTGAAGCTGTTGTCAGCAAGCAAAGTTATTAAGTCATCTGAGGTTCTGTGATAGGGTGACCAGATGTCCCAATTTTATAGAGACAGTCCCGATATTTGGGGCTTTTTCTTATATAGGTGCCTATTACCCCCCCCCCCCACACACACACACACACACCCTGTCCCAATTTTTCACACTTTCTTTCGGGTCACCCTATTCTGTGACCTCCTGCTACAAAAATAAGTCAGATGAAATTGCATGTCACAAAGAGTTAGAGGTTTACAATAATTCTATTAAACCAGTTAATGCATTGGTAGCTAAATTTGCTGTCTTATGTAGCAGTTAACAACTAAGAAGTATTCTGGGTAAGAATGCTGACCAGGAAAACCACTGCTGCACCACCCAGTATATAAAGAAGACAGTTGAAAGGAGTCAGGCATTCCTTCACTAGGCATTGTAAAGCAATTTCCATAAAGGATACCAAAGACATAGAAAAATCCCTCACTGTAGCCTTATACAGAAACTTTACTTTTCAGTGTTCTACACTGTATATCCAATTGAGGAATTAATCTGATCACCATATCATGAGAAAGTGCCATTCTCTAATGTTAGCGCAACAAACTCTCTTTTAAATTTTCTTTTTCCGCCTTTAGAATATTTAAGGGTTGGCAGACCCTCAAGTGTGGAAAATAAAATCTGTAATACATGGCTTTGAGCCAAATTCAGTACAATGAACCTCTGCTTTATGCTGACCCACCAATCACCTCCATATTGACCCGGCACAAATATCCCCTCAAGGCAATTCAGTTTTGTACTAGCTTTCAACTTCAACAAAACAACACAGAGAGTATGGATGACTTATGGGCTGGGTGTCCTATAGCATTCTCAATACATCAGCCATATTTCATTTAAAACCCCAGTGGAAGTGGATGAAGAATTTCAAACATTCATTTTCAAGTCACCCTAGCTACTTCAGCATGAGATCTGTTGCTGAATGGTTAAAGAAAATCTATAAAATTGATGTTTGTGCTCATCAGCATAATACACTAAGCAGAATCATAGAACCAAATCCAAAAATCCTTATTCAGCTTTTAAAAAACTCCTATTAACCACAATGGAAAATTCCCTGAATAAAGACCAATTAAAAGCCATGGGGAGGGGCAAAATCATCCCACTTTTCCACCCTGAATGACTTTCACTCCTACAAAACTCATCTGTTTTCCACCTTTGATTCACCACTAAACCCATCCTTGACCCCTTACAATCTGAATTCTGCCTTTCTTCTATACTTATACTGCCCTCACCAAGAGTGCCAAGAACTTTTACATGGCCAGATATTAAGTCCTTCTCAGCATGCATTCTGGTACTGTAGTTATACAGTGAAAACTTCGTAAGGGCAAGCAGGATGGTCTACATGTTTTGGGGAGGGTATCTATACATCTTAAGGAATGCTTTGCACAGTTTAACAGCCTGACTCGCAGAACACTAAAGTTCATGTGGCATGTTCAAAACAAACCTTAATTTGCAGAATTACCTTCCAAAGTTTCAGCCTCATCCTTTCTGCCCCCTTGACATGTGGTGGCTTCACAGCAGAGCAGAACACATTTGAATGCAAATCTCTCCCAAAATGCTCTCTGGTGTTCAAAACACAGACCAGTAAGTTTCATTTGCATCTGATAGTGAGGAGGGCTATCTGGGGAAAACATTGGTATTATGCTTTCATGACAATTTAAGTTTCCAAGCAGACTGTCCCCTACACTGATTAAATGGCTGTACGTTTCAAGTCACCTCATCATTTCCACTAAGTGGAGCAGATTGGTCAGCAGGATGAGAAACTTCTTGATCAGGTACCTTTACCAACTAAACACTTTTTTGAAAGCTGAGATATGGTTTTATTTCTATTGCATTAGTTGATGTTTTATGTACTGTTATAAAACTTCTCATCAGCAGAAAATACGGACAAATATCAGAAAGGGATATTTAAGTTACACAAAAGCTTTTTGTTACAGAGAGCAGGCTGCTGAAATGATCATCCAAATGGAAACAAGGTCTTGTCCCTGTTAAGTGGATTTCTCTCTCACATTCTTTTAAGTCAGCTCAGAAAACCAAATTCTACTCTCTTTCACTGGCAAGAGAGTGCTGTTGAACTGGTGCAATTCAAACCAGAATTTGGCCCATTGCCTCTCTTGGTATCTTTGCCTCCCTACTGTGCTGAGGAGGTCAAGCATTTAACCTCAAGGGTCAGAGATCAGCTAAGACTTGCCCTGGCTTGGTCCAAGTGAACCACAATAACAGCACATTTCCAAAAGTCTTCTCCCTAGCTACAATGATAATTAACTGGGTACTTGGAGAGGTTTAGAGCCATATAGAAATCTGCACTGTGACTGAGGAATTTTAATAGAAGCACAGCTGCTTTCAGGAGTCTCATGCTTTGTGTTTCTTCTCTTTAGAATTTGACCATTTCATCCCTCATTGTTTGCTGCCTTTTCCCCCCCTTCCGTGACACACTAGATAAATGGAGCTCTGACTTAGAAAAAATGCTTCTTGCAGAAGGAGTAAGTTCTTTAAGGAAAACCATATTTTTCAAAACAGTTGTAACAGATTTTGTGAAAGGGTCTAATTTAGAACCCTGAGCTTCTTTGGTTATTAATAATACAGAAGCAGCTTCAGTTAATGATTTAATATGATGGTTGAGAGTTTCTGCAGCACTGTGTTTCTGCTCAGCACGACAGAGAGCGGAGGCTGTCAGGGAGCCAGTTAAAATTATGAGAGTGGATCTCCACTGGCCCCAGCATAACTCTCAGAATGGTAGTCCTAACATACACCAGATGCCAATGGTCCCTAAAGAGTATACTCTAACCATACCTCCTCTCCTCAACCAACATGAGTCCTATGCTGGGGCCAATTGGCAGGTAGTGCAGGACCTTAGCATTACAGATGATAGCTCGCCCACACGAAGAGAGGCAAAGGGCCAGAACACACCGGAATCTAGCCCAAAATACTTATTACCCAACTTTCTACCCAGAAGGAATCCCAAAGAAAGGGCTTTGCAGACTCATTTACAAAAGTATGTACAATTATATATACAAAACTATATATGTAAACTGGCCTCTTCTAAAAAATATCTTTACCTTTTCCCACTTCGCAAGAGGTGGTATTCCCACATAAATGTATATTAATCTGAAGTTCAGGATGGGCAATATGCATTCTGACACCAGTGAGATGGTAAAGGCTCTCTTACCTGCCAGAAGGACTAATATGACAGTGTCATATAAGTGGAAAGAGAAGATTTACAGCTCATCTAAATGCCTAGATCACTCTTCTCCTCTTGTCATTTATCTTGCCAACAGGATTACAGGAACTCACATCTACAGATAATTTCAGAATTGTAATCATACCATATAACACTGGTATGGAAGAAGTTTACTAACCTATTTACATCATTTTAAAATTAATTTAGCAGTAGTAAAAGTTTGATAGCTCTGGAAAGTGAAGACCTCTATTTTTATCCACTGAGAAGGTACAAGCAAAGACAGGGGGTTCTAAAAGCATCACTTACTTATTATTATATTGATGTACCTTAACTTTGACCTGGAAGAGCCACTTTTAGGGATGAGAGGATAGTTCAGTCTCCATGTCCAGTCACTCCTTCTCCTCTCTGCGGAGACTGCACACAGAGGTGCCACACAGTGTCAGCTTTGTTGGTGGTACTGTGGTATAATCACTGTCGAATGGCAATTGGACTGTGAGCTCCATTTTTTTTTTTTTTGAATAGCCATGGCAACAGTTTTCATTCATTACTGAGCTGAGGTGGAGTCAAAAGTAAAATCCTTCAGTTATCCAATTAATAATCCCTGAAGATATTCAATGTCCTATAACAAGGTGCTAGAGCTTATTTAAAATATTTTTGCTATATTTAAAAAAATAGAAATTATGAAGAGGCAAAAGTTTCTCAGAACCTATGGAAAAGAAATTCAAGTGTTTCTGGATGCTATTTGTTAAATAACCAAAAGAGAAAGCTGGTGCAGGACCTACCCTTAGTCTGGAAATGTATTTGCATATTTTCCAAAAATGTGAACACTAAACGATTTAAATTTCCATTACCCCATCTGCACACAGAGCCCATATCTCACCCTTCTTAGCTCCCGCCTGTAGATTTGGAACTGTTCAGCATACCACAGGGCATGGACTTAAGAGAGAAAAGAATGTTTGATGAACAGCCAGTAGCACATCTGACCAGTGTTCTTGCCTCACCAAGTTTGCCAATGAAGGGGATACTACTTAGACAAGAAACAGTTTGTACATTTGGCAACACCATTTGGTTCAATGAAAATTTTAACATGTTCCATCACTTATTCCAAGTACTCTCCCAGAACGAAATTGTGCAGTTTTTAAACTGGAAGATCCGGGAGGTGTTAATGATGAGGTGCCTACAGTAGGTCAAAAGGAACCAGGAAAATGTGATAGGCTGTGGGGATAGCCTGAACTCCAGCTGGTACCAAGAACAAATTAATGAGATGAGGATGGAAAAATTGAAGAGTGATCTTATTGACGTTACCAAGGGCACTTTTTGCCATATGCTAGCTATGGTTTCAGCAAATGACAATAGCAGCCGACTTAGATAAAAGATCAGAGGCTGAAATACAGGAGATAGAACTAGGAATAAAGCACAGTCTTAGTTGTCTCCCCACGACCACTCCCCCGCACAACCTTCCAGCAGAGAGCACTGCATACTCTGAAATAGAGAGATAAATGCGTGGGAGATATAATTATATCTAGCCTGAAAAACATATCAGCTCTCTAACATCTGAAACATGTTCCCTTAGCACTTGGGGCCCAATGCTGCATCCTTACTCACACTGAACATTACTCTGCAAATAGTCCTGTTGAACTCAGCAGGATTACGCATGGAGAGGGTGGCAGAATTAGGCCCTCAATGAAGCTACAGGATAAACCATAGACTGCTCCTTCCAAAAGGATAAAATTTGATGGTGAGTAAAGTTTTCAAAAGCACCTAAGGGTTTTAGGAGCCTAGGGCTATTATCAAAAGTGACATAGGTATTTCGGAGCCAAAATTCTATTGACTTTCAATGAGAGTAAAGCCTCAAAGTGCCTAAGTCATCTTTGGAAATGAGATTGAGGATCCTAAATCAAAAGTGTTGTAGTCATTTAGGAACTTAAGTCTCATTGGAAGTCAAAAGAACTTAGACTCCTAGGTATGCATGTCACTTTTGAAAATGTGACTCAGGTGCTTTTAAAATTTTTACCCTTTACTTATCGGGTTGCCCACTTTTCACCACCTTGTCTATATACATTTTTATCTGGTTTTCTTGCCACATATACAAGAGTATACTAATTTGCCAAGGTCAAATTGAAAATAGCATAAAGGTCTTCTGGCAAGGCCACATAAAAGTTACAAAAATTGATATGGACAGTGTAGGGTAGAGAAAGACAACATGCATCCAATCCTGCACAGTCTAACTCAGTAGTTCTCAACCAGGGGTCCAGGGCCCCCTAGGGGGCCTTGAGCAGATTTCAGGGGGGCCTCCAAGCAGGGCCAGCGTTAGACTCGCTGGGGCCCAGGGTAGAAAGCCGAAGCCCCACCGCATGGGTCTGAAGCCCAGTCCCTGAGCCCTGCCACCTGGGGCTGAAGCTGAAGCCTGAGCAATGCAGCTTCGCGGGGGCCCCTGTGGCATGGGGCCTCAGGGAATTGCCCTGCTTGTTACCCCCTAACGCTGGCCATGGCTTTTAGATGCAGAAAACCAGTTATTGTGGCACAGGTGGGCCGTGGAGTTTTTATAGCATGTTGAGGGGGGAGAGGGGAGTTCAGAAAGAATAAGGTTGAGAACCTCCAGTCTAACTCACACACACAATTCTTACTCACGCAGGTCAGTGCATTGAAGTCACAAGGTGAAGATTATGCAGGATCAGGTTCTAAAAGATTTACCATATTTGGAGAAATCCATTCCAGCACAGAGCTGAAATGGACAGGGATTTGTTGACTCTAGATGTGTCAGGGCTATCTAGAGCAGCAGTGGTTGTGTTTTTGACCTGTAAGCAGAACCAATAAAAAAAAGTCTTCTGAAAAGTTATTTTCAGTAGGTTCATTTTTCAGTAATGACCAAGAGTCACTAGCATCTGAGGGCTGTTGGGTCTGTGTAGATAAGTCAATAATCTTAGGTCAGCTACTAGCAGACAGGTCTCTGTTTTTACATACAAAAACCCCACCCTGTACAGCATGCTTGTAGGCAATTTTAATTAAGATGCTGAATGGGCCTAGAAGTGGTCCCTACAAGGATAGGTTAGGCACATCCCTTGCCATTGCTATATCTCTTTTGTGGATTAACAGCATTCAGTTTCTGGGATCTTCAATATGGAGCCTTTTCATAAAGCCTTTTTTATTTTTTATAAATGGCTTCAGAAGTCATTTCCATGCTACACTCTAAGTGATACACACACCAGTCTCTTATTGCCAAAGATACACTAACATATCCACTCTGATAACATTGATATAAAAAAACAGGAGTAGCTTCTGATGCCTCAAATTACACAGAGTTCTTCCTCTTCCCTTGAGTCAAGTAACTAGCTGCAGTGCATGATCTAGATCAGTACAAGGTAGCAAACTATCCTCTACCTCACCCACCAGAGTCCTAATCTTCAACATTAAATGGATTAAAACTGGTGTGTTTCCAGTGGGGGTATTGCATGGATCGGTTCTTGGCCCTATGCTATTTAACACTTTTATCAATGACCTGGAAGAAAACAAAATCATCACTGATAAAGTTAGAAGATGACACAAAAATTGGGGGAGTGGTAAATAATGAAGAGGACAGTTCACTGAATCAGAGTGATCTGAATCACATTGTAAATTGGGCTCAAGCAAATAATATGCATGTTAATACAGCTAAATGTAAATGTATATACTTAGGAACAAAGAATGTAGGCCATGCTTACAGGATGGAGGACTCTGTCCTGGGAAGACATGACTTTGAAAAAGATTTGGGGGTTGTGGTGGATAATCAACTGAACATGAGATCCCAATGTAACTCTGTGGCCAAAAGAGCTAATGTGATCCTGGGATGCATAAACAGGGGAATCTCATGTAGGTGTAAAGAAGTTATTTTACCTCTGTATTTGGCATTAGCGTGACTACTGCTGGAGTACTATGTTCAGTTCTGGTGCCCACAGTTCAAGAAGGATTTTGATAAATTGGAGAGGGTTCAGAGAAGAGCCATGAGAATGATTAAATGACTAGAAATCATATATGGTGATAGACTTATAGCACTTAATGTATTTAACCTAAGAAAGAGAAGGTTAAGGGATGACTTAACTACAGTTTATCAGTATCTACAGAGGGAACAAATATTTAATAGGCTCTTCAGTCTAGAAGGGAAAGTTGTAACATGACCCAGTAGCTGGAAGCTGAAGCTTGATAAACTGAGACTGGAAATAAGACATAATGTTTTAACAATGAGTGTAATAAACCACTGGAAAAAGTTATGAAGGGTCATGGTGGATTTTCCATCACTGACAATTTTTAAATCAAGATTGGATGTGTTTCTATAAAATATGCTGGAGGAATTATTTTGGGGAAGTCTCCTGGCATGTGTTATACAGGAGGTCAGACTAGATGATCACAATGGTCCCTTCTGGCCTGGGAATTGCTGAACCGTTTCTTTTTAATGATCTAAAATGAGCATCCATCTAGATTTATAAAAGACAGCTGCCATGTGGGCAAGGATTTGGGAATGACAACCTACAGATGGTGTGGTTTATGAAAGAATGATCATATGATATGACAATCATTGAGAGCATGAATCTTACTAAATCTAAATGAAAGAGCGTATTGTACTTGAGGTGCTAAATTTCAAGAATTCCACCATTCCCATCCTCTCAAAAGTCCATGCACTGAAAATCTCTGAATCACAAAAGATACATAAGCAGATATATGCTGTTTTGAAAATTCCAAATTTGATACACTTAATGACACAGATCAGTTTGCTGATGTGTGTGTGAAATCAAAAATTGATACAAGTTTGAATATAATTAATGGCTTTTGAAGAATGAGGTGGGAGGGACAATAGGAAGGAATGAGAAGAGTGGAGTTCATTTTTCTACTTTGGGCTATTACCAATAGAAAATGTCATTTCCAAAGCACCATCTTGACTCCCCCTATTTATTATTTGAATAAAGTTCTTTAGCAGCATAAACCAGCACAACAGCCTGTTGCTTTGCAATTCAGCTTAGGCAGGCTGCCTTCTATGTTTTTGCTGGACAATTTATCAGATAACTCAGTCCAAAAAACTAGATCTGCCCTTTTAATGTTCCACCAAGACTATGCCAGAAGCACAGGTAATAAACCCACATACTATCAAGGTAAAAATCAATGGTAACAAATGTGGTTTCACACCCAGACATTACATTCCTTCAGCCTACTTGCTGATCCGTTCCCTGCCATGGTGTCTTCAATCCCACTTGTCTCCTTCACACATTTCTAGCTGTTAAAACATAGCAGAAATCCATTTCCTCTGATTTGTTTTCCTTAATACCAGTCTTTTCACAAACATTGAATTGTCTGTCCTCCCTTTCTACACAATCCTTGCTCAGGCTGTATGGTCATTGAACTCAATGGGCCCACTTCTTCTATGGCAGTTGAAGGCATGT